TGTTTTTCGGAACCGGGAATTGAACTCAGACCCTTGCACTTGCCAGGCAAGCGCTTATTCTACTGAGCCAGCTCCCCGGCCCCATTATCATCATTATTATGATTATTAGTAGTAGTAATACCAGGGATCAAACTGAGGACCTTGCGCTTGTCAGGCAGGTGCTTACGCCACTGAGCTATTTCCCCAGCCACGTTTGTTATTATAAAAGACACTAAAAATGTATTTGTGTTTGTTCTTTTAACTGACTTCAAAAATAAGCCATAGGGCCAGGGAGATGACTCAGTAGAATAAGCGCTTGCCTGGCATGTGCAAGAGCCAGAGTTCAATCCCCGGTTCCTCAAAAACAAAACAAACAAACAAAATAACAACAAAAACAAACAAACAAACAAACAAAAAACCAAAGGCCATGCTGTATTGAGCTAGAGGAATGTCTCCAGATGGTGCCTCTTATTCAGAAGAATAAATTAAAAGAACCAGAAATGACAAATAAGAGGCATATAATAAAATGGTAAATGTATGTGCTTCCCTTCTTTGGCTTCATAAAAGATACAAATGTCTATGCAGTGACGATAACAGTGTGTTGTTGGCCGTTAACGCTTATGGAGGTAACCTGCGTACCCCTGCGCCTGCAGAAGGCGAGAGGGGACAGAGCGGTAGAGTCATACTTTCATATTTCACTGGAACTCAGTGTAAATCAGAGGCTAACTATGAAAAATGAAGATGTTCATGGCTAACCCTAGGGCGATCACTGAGAATAAGAATTGTTACAGGCACACACTAGTAATCTCAGCTCTTCACCGGGGAGGCTGCGAGAGGAAGTGGACTGCAGGTTGACTCCAGCTGGCTCAATTCAGTGACACTGTTTTGAAACAGCATGATAAGGGCTGAAGGGGGAGCTCAGGGGTTGAGAGTCCTTGAGTACCACCCACTACCACACCACACACACACACACACACACACACACACACACACACACAGTATTAGGCTCAAGAGGACAGTTTGTTGGTAGAGTGCTTGCCCAGCATGCAAACACATATGGGGTCCCGGGTTCAGCCCTTGGCACTGGGGTGGGTGGGATGTACCGGACACCTCAGAGAGTTGGAACTAACTCCTGCCTCAAAAGACACCATCAAAAAAGACAAGGATTGGGGCCCGGGAGATGGCTCAGTGGTATAAGC